CATGTGGTGCTGGGGGATTGAACCGCGGTCCCTGATGCTTTGCTAAGCTTGTTCCAAGTAGGTGCTTTAGACCACTGAGCCATCTCTCCAGCCCTGTGTACTTTTTAGATTGCAGACTTTTTAAGAAATGTAAGGAGCCAATTACTGTTTACATTTTTACAGTAAGCAGTTATTTTAAAATTTAGAAATAATATAAAACTGCCTTTAAAAATTATTAAATCACCTATGCCTTCCTTCATCTTTCCATCCCTTTTCCTTTTGCAAAAGATCTTATCTCACTTTTTCCTATTTTTTATTTTGCTCTTTATATTTTAGTTTTCTCATGTAAGAGATATGTGATATTTATGTGTGTCTGATTTCAGTTAATATTATTTCAAAGTGCATATTCATTTTCCTGCAAATGACTCGGGTTTATCCTTTATGGCAGAATAGTATTATCACATTTTCTTAATCCATTCCTCTTGATGGACATATAGGCTACTTCTGCTTTTTTTGTTTTTGGAGACAGGGTCTCGTTATGCACTTCAGGCTGGCCTTGAGCTCACTTTGTAGTTCAGGCTGGTCTTGAATTTGGCAATGATCCTCCTTCCTCTACATCCAGAGTGCTGGGATTACAGGTGTATGCCACCATGCCCGGCTGTATAGGTTACTTCTAAGATTTATTATTTATTTTGTATCATTTTTCTCCTCAAGGGTTTTTGTTTTTATTTTCTGACTGTGGGAATTGAACCCTAGGTCTCATGTGAGGCAAGCACTTTACCACTGAGCTGTACCAAGACCTCCTCCTACTTTTATTTGTTTTCCAGACTGTCTTACTCATTATGTGGCCTCATGCTGGCCTTGAAATTGTGATTTTCCTGCATCATGTACCTAAGTGCTGGGATTCCAGGTATACACTGCCACTCCTGGCCTGAGGTTTAAAAAATCACTATTTTTAATTGTCATGGTAATGCTATGTTGCCCATGCTAGCTACAAAGACTTGGGCTGAAGTGCTTCACTTGCTTCAGCTTGCTCTGTAGGCAGACTACCAGCACACATTACTTTGCCTGGGGTCTCTAGCATGCTAGGAAGCATTCTACCCTGAGCTATACCTCCAAATATGTTTCAGGCCGTTTCGTATTTACTTATTTTTTTTTTTTCCCAAACCCTTTTATTAGGAATAGAGCTGCTTCTTTCCTCACCGCATAGCAACAGACTAGCTCCTTAAGAGAGTGGTATATTCTTGAGATAGGTATTTGGTGGTGCTATGAGGCTATGAGAGGATGAATTAAATTTAAAAGAAGATCTCTGAGGGAAAGACTTTTTCTGAGAAAATATCATTAAGTAGGAAAAGACTTTTCCTTTTTGAGCTGTACTTGTATTGCAATGGGAAGCATCTCTGGTCAAGAAATTAGCATTCTTTAACATGATTTTCTGTTCTTTAGATTTCCATGAGGACAACTGATAAGAACCTGAATGGCCTTGTTTTAGCTGCTTCAGTGTGTGGAGCTATTCCTTGCTCCCTTGTATCTTGTGTTTGGGGTGACACTGGCTACTGAGCACCATGAAGGTTGTCCCAGAGAAGAATGCTGTCCGGATACTCTGGGGCCGGGAACGGGGCACTCGGGCCATGGGAGCCCAGAGGCTCCTGCAGGAGCTGGTGGAGGATAAAACCCGCTGGATGAAATGGGAGGGCAAGGTGAGAGATGTGGCTGTTTTTGAGATAGGATCTCTAGGGCAGACAATAGAATGGGCTCTTGGGCTGGCGAGATGGCTCAGTGGTCTAAAGCACCTACTTAGAACAAGCTTAGCAAAACACAGGGACCGCGGTTCAATCCCCCAGCACCACATGCCAACCAGCCCCACCCCCTGGTGGGCTGAGCTGGCCACACACATACAAATAAATAAAAAGTTTTCCTTTTTTTTTGGCAGAACTGGGGATTGAACTCAGGCCCTTGTGCTTGTCAAGGAAGCGTGTTTTCCACTGAGCTATCTCCCCATCCAATAAATAAAAATTAAAAAAATAAAAATTAAAAAAAAATAGAAGGGGCTCTTAAGAAGGGGCAGAAAGTTTTATGTAGGAGAATTGATATATCTAACTTGGGAGGTTCATTTACAAATTTGAAACACTTTAAGGATTAGAAGTATCTTTTCCTTTAGAACTAGATCTTTTTCTTGAAGGTAATTTAGATTTATCTCTCTCAATTTGCAACTTGATCATTGTCTCTAGTTTTTTTAGCTGATACTTGTGAATGTTAATCTAGAATGGTTCATGTGCTTTTCAGGTAGGGCAAGCCACAGTGTATAAATAATGTATTTGAACTGTCTTTTCTTTTCTTTTTTTTTTTTTTTTCTTTTTTGTCTCCCAGAGAGTAGAACTGCCTGATAGTCCACGCTCTACCTTCTTACTGGCCTTCAGCCCAGACAGGTACCTAGTATTTATCTGTAATTTAATGTTAAGATTTGCAGCAGCATTGCTTTCTGTATATTTGGCCTAGTGAGATCTTCCAGGTTAATCCAATCCCAAGAGGCTCTCTAAAGTACTGTATAAAGAGAGAGCTGTGTGTCAGAAAAGGAAAGAAAGCAGATAAGTAGTGCTAACAGAACGCTAGTGAGAGTAAATGAGAAGTAAAAAAGCAGAGATCAGAATTTGGAAAATTTCTCAGCAATAATCCTTTGCTTGAGTGATATAGACCACCAGTGACATGATGACTTTCCCAGTCTGAAAAACTGCCTCTGAAGGAGGTATGTGTCATTTGGGGACAGTGTAGGAAAGCCAGACACTTTTAGAGATCAATAATTCTCTTGTGTGTGAATATGTTACATTAAGGCATAAGGCATAGTTTCTTTCATGCTGGAGTAGGCAAAAATATCAATTTTCCTTGTTGTCCAAAGCTGATAAAATTTGTTATAATGCCATGTGCCTCTTGACTCATTCCTACTCTTTGATTTCCCTAGGACTCTCTTGGCCTCCACCCATGTAAACCATAATATCTACATTACGGAGGTGAAGACAGGCAAGTGTGTACATTCTCTGATTGGACACCGCCGAACTCCCTGGTGTGTCACTTTCCACCCCACCATCTCAGGCCTTATAGCTTCTGGCTGCCTAGATGGGGAGGTTAGGATTTGGGATTTACATGTAAGTATTATTTGCTTAACAGCCTTTTTCTTTGGTATTCTGAGTGCAGAGACCTAATTTGTCATTGGGTTCTTAATTCTGGACCAGAAACTAGATAGGTTCTGTGGACTTCACCTGAGTATGTAGTAGTCAGTACCTACTTAATCAGTAGACATTGGTTCATAGTTTTTCATTCTAAAGTGAACTATTAGCACTGGGTGTAGTAATGTGGACCCTATAATCCCAGCATTTAAGAGGCCAAGGCAGCAGGATAATTGTGAGTTTGAGGACAGTGTGGGCTATATAGTGAACTGAAAGCCAACCTGAACTCTATATCAAGACTTTGTCTCAGGGGAAAAAAAAAAAAAAGAAAGTAAGCAAGCAAGCAAGCAAGCACTCTATTAAAAAAGAGGGGGCTGGGGAGATAGCTCAGTAGAATTAGCACTTGACTGGCAAGTGCAAGAGCCTGAGTTCAATCCCTAGTTCTGCCAAAAAACAAAAAAGAAAGAAAGAAAGAAAACACACTATTATTGTTCTACCTACTCATTGTGATATACTATAGGAGGCTCTGAGATGCATTCAAGATAGATTCTTTTGTCTTAGAGCAGAGATTGTGTTGGTCTCTGACTGTGATTATCAAAGCAGGATGCTCTATCTTCTTCTTCTTTTTTTTTTTTTAACTTTATTTTATTTGTGTGTGTGTGTGTGTGTGTGTGTGTGTGTGGCCAGCTCAGCCCACCAGGGGGCAGGGCTGGCTGGCATGTGGTGCTGGGGGATTGAACCGTGGTCCCTTTGCTTTGCTAAGCTTGTTCTAAGTAGGTGCTTTAGACCACTGAGCCATCTCACCAGCCCTCTGTCTTCATATTGTGCACAAAGTTGAGGGTTTTTGTTTTGAGGCAAGGTGGTTTGGAACTCTTTGTTTTACCTCAACCTCCCATCTAATGGGGTTACAGTCATGCTTTCCTGTGCCTGGCTCTGGCTTTGTAGGATTCACAAAAAGGAACTGAGGAGATACTTGCTTATAGATTGTAAATGACTTGAATTGAGCTGGGATTAATATTTGATAAATTAGTGGAACAGTCAGATCATTGATTTTGTACATTGTTTTTATGGAGAACCTTTTATTTATTTATGTGGGTAGTAGAAATTCAACCCAGGACCTTCATTTTGAGCTGTTTCCAGCCCTTTCTAAGTTTAAAAAATTTTGAATTTGGGATCTTCCTGCCTCAACCCACTGGTTGCTACAATTATAAGTATGAACCTGGCTTACAGAGACATATTTAAAGTAGGCCTTATCAGTACTCATTTTATTTAATCTGTTCATTTTTATTTTTTGTGGTATTGGCAACGGAATTTGGGACCTTTATAGTGCACCATAACCCTGGACCTTTATCTTTTGAGATACGATCTTGCCGCATTGCCCGGGCAGAAGTTGAATTGGTCTCAGCATTCCAAGTGCAGGAATTACATGCATGTGCTATTGCACCTGGCTTTTCCTTTTTTTTTTTTTTTTTTGGTGCTAGGAATCAAACTTGGGACCTTGTGCTTGCAGGCAGGTGCTTATGCCAGTGAGCTGTATCCTTGGCCCTGCACCTGGCTTTTATCTTACTTATTTTTGCAATTCCTGGGATTGAGCCCAGCAAATGATGAGCTATATATCAGCCCTTTTGCGTTTTTATTTATTTTTTTATTATTTTATTTTATTTTATTTATTTATTTATTTTTTCCTTTTGCGTTTTGAGACAGGATCTAGCTAAGTTGCCCAGGCTGGCCTTGATCTTGAATCTTTTTGCCTCAGTCTTCTGAGCAGCTGAGATTATAGATTTGTGCTAGCATGCCTGACTTCATTTTATCTTTTTTTTTGGGCGGAACTGGGGATTGCATTCACGCCTTTGCACTTGCCAGGCAAGCACTTATTCTACTGAGCTATTTCCCCAGCCCCATTTTATCTTTAATGAAGTGTCTTTTGTTTTGTTTTGTTTTGGTGCTGGAAATTAAACTCAGGACCTTGCACTTGCCAGGCTGGTGCTTGTGCCGCTGAGCTATATCCCTAGCCCTAACAAAGTGTTCTTGAAGTTTACTGTTAAGTGCATTGGTAGTTTGTAACCTCAGAATGTTTGGGATTTGTTCATTTTCAGGGTGGCAGTGAAAGCTGGTTTACAGATAGCAACAATGCCATTGCTTCCCTGGCTTTCCATCCTACGGCACAGCTTTTGTTGATTGCTACTGCCAATGAAATCCACTTCTGGGACTGGAGCCGACGGGAGCCCTTTGCTGTGGTCAAGACTGCAAGTGAGATGGAGCGGGTCCGGTGAGTGCTATGCCCTACTGTTAGTGTCTCGCAGAGGCCTGGCATGACATAGAACATTGCACCTTTGTCACCTAATGAGATGTGTGTTGTCCTCTCTGGGCAGCTATCAGGGAAGTTGCTATCCTGTGACTCCTTTTTTTAATTAAGCCTACTTTTTTAAAAGAATGTATTTAGTACAGGGTCTACAGGGCCTACAGGGTCTCACTGCATAGATTGGACTTGTAGTGATTCTTCCTGGTTTTCAGCCTGCCAAGCACTAGGATTATAGCATGTACCACCATGCCCGTTCTCAATCGAGGCCTCAGTGTGCCCCAGGGACAGGGCCAGCACGGCAGGTGGGGGACTGAACCCCCAGTCCCTGTATCTGCCTAAGCAGGCGCTTTAATTCACTGAGCTATCTGGCTGTCCCTATTAAGCCTTTTTTTTTTTTTTTTTTTCTGGAACCTGGGGTGGAACTCAGACCCTTGTGCTTGGCAGGGAAGCGCTTATTCTACTGAGCCATCTTCTTGGCCTCTTAAGCCTACTTTTTAATCACTGGATAGCAATCCAGGAAGCAGTTCATTTTTCTTGTCTCATCTGGTCTCTAGAGCAGGTCAGTAGCATCTTTTCTTAGGCTTAAAGTCATCAGTATTTTGGATTTCTTTTTTGGGGGGAAACCTGAAAGAAGTTCAGGTGTTAGTTTAGATAGCTTTGTGAGTGAATGGTTATCCTTGGTCATCTGTGTTCTCAAGTTGAAAGACAGAGATGTAACCATGCATCAAATCTGCTAGTGAATATTTTTTTAGCTTTCAAGATCAAACATACACAGTAGGTGGGGTCTGTGGCTCAGTGGTAGAGCACTTTTCTACCATGCATGAGACCTTGGGTTAAAAGAACAAACAAACCCCCAAACTACTGCTACTATACCACCACAACTAACCACCACCACCAAGTACCTATTGCCTGAATTAAAGTTGTTATGTTATTTTTTTTATTTTGGCAGCATAGCCAGATATAGTTTGAGCTATTGTTTCTTTTTTTTCCTTTTTTCTTTTTGGCGGAAGCAGGGATTGAACTCAAGCCCTTGTGCTTGCCAGGGAAGTGCTTATTTCACTGAGCCATCTCCCTGGCCCCCAAGCTATTGGTATTTGACATTGAGACTGTTTATTGTTACCAGAGTACATGCTTCTTGCCAGTGTGTTACATTGTGAGGGAAGAACTGAGCCATGGTAGGGTATGTAAGGGTCTCTGGTAGGATGGTCTCTTAGAAATAAGCAAATGTATGCTTAATGTCGCTGCTTGCTTGGATGTAAACTTTCAAATATTAAATTGTTATTTTTTGTGGTATGTATTCCTTTATACTGGCAAGAAATACTGAGCTAATTTTGATCTCTTCAAAAGTGTGAAGGCATAAAGTAGATGCCAGGCGGTTCTGCAGTTATCAGTAATCATTGCTATAAGTGTGAGCAGTTTTCTTCTCAATTAATGTAATCTTTCTATGTGTCTTTGTGTCTTCTGTGGTTTCAGTCTGGTGAGATTTGATCCGCTTGGACACTACTTACTCACAGCAATTGTTAACCCCTCTAATCAGCAGGTAAGATTCTTAAAGTTCCAACTCTGTCTGAACTGTGAGTTATTTTCTAGCCGAGAGCTCTAATTCTGATTATGTTGGATTTTAATTCTCAATATCCAAGCCTTTCTTTCCAGCCAAGTCTTAAATTAGCTTCGCACTGCATAGTCAGAAGTTCAGCCTTAATCTTACCAGGAGACTCAATGCTAAAACTCCTGAGTGATCACCTCATTAGCAGTAGCCCTTGTCATCATCAGGTGGTGTTGGATTGCCTGTTACTTGTGTGCCTCTGGCTGGCTGACATTTTGTTTCCCCTTGCTGCTTCCATTGTCACAGAGACGCTTTTAATGAGAGGATTGGTTTGCCAGCTGTACTCAGACATGTTGCTAATTGAAAGTGAATGAATTTGATATCTTATGATTCTGAATCTGCAGCCTGTTTCTGTAGTTTTCAGTACTTCAGGGGTGGAGAGTTGTTGACTATGAAGGTGCTTCTCCTTGGATGATTGTCAGTAGTTAGTTCTTGATTCACTCGGAGGTTCTACCTAACTGCCTTGCTCTACCCTTTGCTCCATGCTGGTCCACATTGCAGGGCGATGATGAACCAGAAATTCCCATAGATGGAACAGAATTATCCCACTACCGTCAGCGTGCCCTTCTGCAATCACAGCCAGTTCGCCGGACGCCTCTTCTCCACAATTTCCTGCACATGCTGTCCTCCCGCTCCTCTGGCATCCAGGTGGGAGAGCAAAGCACAGTGCAAGATTCTGCCACCCCCTCACCCCCACCGCCTCCCCCTCAGCCCTCCACGGAGCGCCCCAGGACTTCCGCTTACATCAGGCTCCGACAGCGGGTCAGTTACCCCACCACAGTTGAGTGCTGCCAGCACCCTGGGATCCTGTGCCTTTGCAGCCGCTGCTCTGGCACTCGAGTTCCTTCCCTCTTGCCACACCAGGACAGTGTCCCCCCAGCTTCTGCCAGAGCTACTACCCCTTCCTTTTCTTTTGTACAGACCGAGCCCTTCCATCCCCCGGAGCAGGCCTCATCAACGCAGCAGGACCAGGGCCTTCTGAACCGGCCGTCTGCCTTCAGTACAGTCCAGAGCAGCACTGCCGGCAACACGCTCCGCAACCTCAGTCTGGGGCCTACGCGTCGCTCTTTGGGGGGCCCTCTGTCCAGCCATCCATCTAGGTATCACCGAGAAATAGCTCCTGGGCTGACAGGATCAGAGTGGACCCGGACAGTCCTCAGTCTGAACTCACGCTCTGAGGCAGAGTCCATGCCCCCACCCAGGACCAGTGCCTCCTCTGTGAGCTTGCTGTCTGTGCTGAGACAGCAAGAAGGTGGCTCTCAGGCATCTGTGTACACATCAGCCACAGAAGGGAGGGGCTTTCCAGCCTCGGGGTTGGCGGGTGAGTCCGATGGAGGGAATGGTTCCAGCCAGAACAACTCAGGCAGCATTCGCCACGAGCTTCAGTGTGACCTGCGACACTTCTTTCTGGAATATGACCGGCTGCAGGAGCTGGACCAGAGCCTAAGTGGGGAAGCTTCTCAGACTCAGCAGGCCCAGGAAATGCTCAACAATAATATTGAATCTGAGAGGCCAGGCCCTTCCCACCAGCCCACCCCGCACAGCAGTGAAAACAACTCCAACTTGTCCCGTGGCCACCTGAACCGCTGCCGCGCTTGCCACAATCTCCTGACCTTCAACAATGATACCCTGCGCTGGGAAAGAACCACACCCAACTACCCATCTGGGGAGGCTAGCTCCTCCTGGCAGGTCCCTAGCACTTTTGAGGGCATGTCATCCAGTGGCAACCAGTTGCCATCTCTTGAACGCACTGAGGGCCAGACACCTAGCTCCAGCAGGCTGGAGTTGAGTAGCTCTGCTAGTCCACAGGAGGAGAGGACTGTGGGGGTGGCCTTTAACCAGGAGACAGGCCACTGGGAACGAATTTACACCCAGTCCAGCAGACCTGGAACTGTACCACAGGAGGCCTTACATCAGGATATGCCAGAGGAGAGCTCTGAGGAGGATTCCCTTAGGAGGTAAGCAGTTGCTATCCTTCCTTCTCCTGCATCTTTGCCTTTTCTCCTTATGTCTCTTCCTTCAGCCCTGTAGATTTGGGATCTGTTGGAAGGGTCTTGGGTCCACACATCTGATTCTGATATCCCCATTGCACCATCTTGGAAAATACTGCTCTGGTGGCAAAGCTAGGATCAGGCCTGTTGGTATGTATGAATCAGTTGGTTGTGCTGGCTGTGTTTTTGGCTGAGCTGAAGGCTCTAGCTTTAGCTTTGAAAGGAGAGCATAGATGAAATTAGAGAGGTACAAAGAGATAGAACCATTGAGTTTCTGTGTTGTGCCTTTGAACCTTGATGGTTTGTTTGTGTAGGCCTAGATACTGTGAGATGAAGGGTTCCAGAGTGCTCTAACAATAAGTAGTAAAAGAGAACCCCTTGGTTCAGACTTGCATATTGGATTGGCTCTTCTTTGCTTGCCTTGCTTTGGGCAACTGTTCACCTCCTAATTCTTACCTTTTGGAAAGAATGAACATGCATGAGTGCGTGCATATATACACATGAGAAAGAAGATATATATATATCTCAAAGTTCAAAAAAATTTTTATAGATACATGGTGGGTTTGTTTACTTGTTTGTATTTTTGGGTACTGGATATTGAACCTGGTGCCTTCTGTAAGTCAAGCACATGTTCTACCATTGAGTAACACCCTCAAACCCAAGATTTGTTGAATGGGTGTTTTAGATGGAGCTTTATCTTGGGGTGGGAAAAACAGAAGACTTGATAGAAGGTCTCTCTATGCACAGTTTGGCATATCAGCCTACTATTTCATGAAAGAAACTGGGTGTAGTTGATCACCCACTACATGTTCCTTTTATGGCTATGTGCATATCTTAAACTTGATTTATTAGGGACTTCTTTCTATAGTTTTGTAAAGGTCAAATCCAGCATAATCACTGGCTTCCAGAATATGTCTGTTGGATCCAGACAGCATATTACTCTGTATTATATTCTTTGATGAAATTTCTCTGACATTTTTTAACAAGGATGGGAATATAGACTGTGCACATAATGTACTTGTTATTTTGGGAGGGTGCTTTAGACAGTCACTCAGTCAATAAGCACTGGTTGAATGGCTCTAATTTTTCCAGTCTGTGCTATCCTCCATGCCCCCTGGAGTCTGCAGTTTTGTTGTGGATGCAAGGCTTATTTACATTATTAAAAGTGTAGACAATCATGTACTTTCTTGTATTGAGATTAAATGTATGGTTCTGCAAAAAAGAGAGAGATTAAGTGTAGTCTAAGCAAACAAGCAAAAACCAACAAAAGTGTTAAAAGTGTCCTTTTTTTAGAAAAAGGAATGTATTGAGTTTTCAAAATCTAGTTGAAAAATGGTTAAAATTTAAGAAAGATCTTTCTCTTTTAGAGGAATAGCACATAGTAGAGGAAGAAACTGAATGATACATTCATGATAGTAAGCAATAACTAAGGCCTGGCCTTGGGAACTGTGAGAAGATTGGCTGGCAGTAAAAAGGTCACAGTAATGGAAGTCTCTTTCCCCTAATGAGTTAGACCAGTCTTGGACAAGCAGCTCTTCCATTCATGGGTTTGAAATATTTTGTCTTCCATAATAGCCCCTTTTTGGAGCCTGGGACTTAGATTTCCTCTCCTTCCTTCCTTCCTTCCTTCCTTCCTTCCTTCCTTCCTTCCTTCCTTCCTTCCTTCCTTCCTTCGAGTATGGTGCCTGACACATAATAGGCACTCAAGGATTATTAAAGGGACCTTGTGAAGACTCTTTAGTTCTGCTCTGAGTTGCAAGGCAGTCCTTGTCTCATGGTCCAGGAGAGCTTCTGCTCAGCATTTGTCTGTTCTGTTACCACAGTACCTTTGCATGTCTTTCATGTACCATGACATGAGCATTCTGAGTTAAAAATAAACTCACTCAGGCTTGAAATCCTGGTGCTCTGAGAGGCTAAGGGAGGAGAATTGCAAATTCAAACCCAGCCTGGGCAATTTAGCAATTTCGCAAGACCCTGTATCAAATATAAAGCCTAGGGATGCAGCTCCATGTGAAGGACCTGGGTTTAATGCTCAGTACCACAAAAGAAAACCTAAGATACTGAGCCAGGCATAGGGGCACATGCCTGTAGTTTTAGCACTCAGGAGGCTGAAGCAGGAAGATGTTTAGTTTGAGGTTAGCCTGGGCTACCCAGTGAGACCTTGTTTCAAAAAGTAAAAAATTACTAAAAGTAAAACCTTAGAAACTATTAAGACACCAAAACTTTATTATTTTTTTTTTTCTGCTGATGATTTTGTGAGCTACTATTTGTGTTGTGGCTTGAGTAAATTTTTAGTATTTAAAGACATACATTGCTAAAAAAGAAGTCCTTTGCCATTTTGCAATAAACAGTTTTATATGCTTTTTTCTGTTAAATTATACAAATTGTGCATAGCTTTCATTGTAAAATTGTGTATGAATATAGTAGGTATATGGGGGCAATCCCTTAAATGAGCTAAGATATGGTATACCGTAGGTGCCGACAACTGACTCAGAAATGCACACGTTAGAGACTGGCAATTTTCTCTTCAGTTGGCAGCATTCCAGTGTAAGCCAGTCATCCCAGCGGGTCTGTCAATATCAGAAGGGGCTCATCCTTCTTGACCGAGTCAGGCCCTGCTGTGACTTCTCCAGTAGGTGTCACTGTTGGGCTGCTGCTGCTAGGTTAGGCTGGCTGGGAAGAAAAGGTGTCCTTATTTGTGGGGGAGGTTGGCTCTTAAAGCCCGTTTCTATAGGTGACTATTGTTTCTAGTGAGTGAAGTTCATAAAAGGTTATTGTAATCGAAAGGAAAGGATTTTGCATCTTTGGACTTCTAGGGGGAGATATGTTAAGGGGTTATATTTTGATCCTTTGTACTTGCAGAGATAATTACTAGTGTATGTGAATAGTGAGTCTTAATAAGCACACAGTGTGTACTTCAAAACAGCTCTGTGCTGCTTCATAGTAACAACCAGTGCAAAATTTGTCTTTCTCTGTAGGCAAGGCAGGGGGAAGTTTCTGGGTAGTTTGACTGTTGCCTCACTACCAAAAGGTACCCCCTCCCCTTTTGTCTGAGAGTTTAGGATTCTGAAGGAAAAGATTAGGATATTGTGACTTGTTAGAGTAGGAGTTTCTTTTCTTTTAAAAGTTTTTAATTAGGAAAAAGGAAAGTTTTGAAGTGATGTCTTAGAACCAGAGGAACTTTTTTTTTTTTTTTTTAGTTTGTTTTTTTTTTTTTTTTTTTTTTTTTTTTTTTTTTTTTTTTTTTTTTTGGAGCCGGGGATTGAACTCAGGCCCTTGCGCTTGCCAGGGAAGTGCTTATTCCACTGAGCCATCTCCCCGGCAAACCAGAGGAACTTATAGTTAGGCGTGATAGTGCACAATTGTAATTCCAGCATTTGAGAGACTGAGACAGGAGGAGCTCTGAGTTTGAGGCCAGCCTGGGTTGCATAGTGCATTCAGGGGCAGCTGGAACAGTATAGCTGGGCTCTGTCTCAAAACAAACAAATAAGCAAAACAATAAACTAGAGAAGCTAAGACTTTGTCTCAGTCCAATCTGTCTTTCTTGCCTCAGTACTGTAGTTGAATCCAGGGCTTCAAGCGTGTCAGGCAAATGCTATTCCACTGAATCACATTCCCAATCCTTGTTTAATTAAATTAATTAATTTTTTGTCTTCAGTGTTTGACATTTTATTGGTTGTGTTGAGGATCAGTACACATGATTCACTTTGTACACAGTTCTTAACACACATACAAAAAAAAAAAGCCATGTATTGTTTTTCAGTTATTCCAGTGACTTTCCTGCTTCAAATTTAGAGGCAGATTTTCTGTAAGAGGATTAAGTACCAGTACCTTCAAATGCTGACAAAGACTTACTTAAGTCCCACCAATTCACAATTTTGTATCACATACACTACATACTCAAATTTTTGATCTTTCACAGCACATTAACAAAATGGGGCAAACCAGACTACCACTATCAAAGATGTTACAGACTGCACACGATTCTGACAGAACAACAATTAGGAAGAAGTTTTCTTTAGGAAACAGTTCTGCGAAAAACATGGGAATAGAAGTTATTTAAAGTGTCCAAGACATATTAAATGCATGACTATAATTCCAAATTGCCATTTAGTGTGTTTTGTATTGCAGGATATAAAACTAACCCCCACCTATCTAATGTTAAGCTGACACCCAAGACAGTGAAAGCCTGCCATAATTCAGTATCCCACTATTTCTGGTTATACCAAAAAATAAACCACCAGAGAATTTCACCTCTAAAAAAAAATCATTTACACTTAAAAAATGCGATGAGGTGGGATTCCCTCCTTTAAAAAATGTTTCTAGAGCTACTAAAAAATTTGCATTTACAAGATAGTTGATAAAAATATTCCTCTGGATTGTACAAGAAGGGAGACAGGAAGCACTGATAAGACATGGGATGTGGGAAAAAAAAAAAAAAAGACATGGTGTGTGAGTAATCAGACTTGGCTTCTTTCTTTTCTGCTTCATCAGAAGCTGCACTCTCCTTATTTTTAGTTTCTCCGTTTTCCGCAGGTAAATCGTCCTTGGTTTCTTGATTAGCCACTTAAGCCTGTTTTCCCTTGGCTCCCCTTTTCCCTTTTGCTTGCACTGTTTTGTCTGAAGATTTATCCTTTCACACTGCCTTTTTTGGCTTTGTTTCCACTTTAACTGGAACAGGTTTAGCCAACAACCTCGCAGATCTCCTCTTGGGCACCTCCTTCGTCTGAGCCAACCTTCCTCTTGGGCATCTTGGTGGCATGGGGGGTTGCATGTGGAAGCTGCGGAATGAGGTGCACAGGAGCCTTGCAGAGCTTTGCAGCTCTACTGCTGCGACCGCTGCCGTTCCTCCCGCTGCCAGAGCTGCTGGGATCTATACCTAATTTTATTTTGGGAAAGGGTTTTATTAAACTGCCTAGGGTGGCCTAGAACTTACCTCCATCTTTCATCCTCATCCTTCGTAGTTA